CCGAGCGCGGGAGGCAGGGGCGGGGAGCGCGACGGGCGGGCGGGAGTGAGGCCGCGTGTCGGGGACGGCGTCCCAGGCTCTGCCCGGCCGGAAGCCCGCGCTGGCTGAGCGCGCCCTCCAAGCAGAACGGGGCTCTGTGCTCTAGTGTGTCGTCTCGTCCCGCGCTGGTGGGGGGCCTCCACGCACAGACGACTCGACCGAGGCCGCCCGGCTAAGGAGCCGCGCTGCCCAGACCTGTTGCCGGCGACCCGACATGAAGTTCTCCTCAGTGTGGCTCTCGCTGCCCTACGGGAGCTGTGGGCACAGCTAGATTCTGGCGTCTTGTAGACCAGCGGTGCCCAACCTTTTTGACCTCGGGACCGGCTTCAGGGAAGACGAACTGTCCACCGATGGGACAGGAGGCCATGGTTTCAGGATGATTCGAATGCATTACATTTATTGTGCACTTTATTTCTGTTATTACATTGTAACATAGTAAGATAATGATACAGCTCATAATGCAGAATTCGTGGGAGCCCTAAGCTTGTTTTCCTGCAACCAGGCAGTCCCGTCTAGGGGTAATGGGAGACAGTGACACCCAAAGTGTTTTGCTGGTGTCCAGCCTACTCCGTGATCTTGTTTTGGTTGTTGTCACTGCAGGATATTGGAAATGGAATCAGGCTTTTCAGTGCTGATCTGACAGGAGGCAGAGCTCAGGCGGTAATGCAAGCAATGGGGAGCAGCTGTAAATACCGACGACGCTTCACTCACTCACCCTCACCTGCTATGCAGCTGGGTTCCTAACAGGCCACAGACCAATACTGATCCATGGCCCCGGGGGTTAAAGACCCCTGCCCTAACTGACCTGCCCCCACCACCAGGACCCAGACTTTGGCCCCTTTTCTCAGTCACCATAAGATCCCTCTTCCTGAACCTGTCTTCACCAGATGTAGTTCCCCAGGCTGGGACAGGAACAGAGGGTCCTGATCCTCTAGTATTTCTCCTGAGGAACCCCGGCAGAGGCCTCGCCCTCAGTCTTTCTCTGGACCTGCACCACATGTTGGAGTAGGAAGGGCCCTTGGGGATTCCACTGGCTGCCAGGCCCCATGGTAGCAACAGTAGGAGCAGAGGAAGGGAGATATGGACTCCTCACCGGAGGGAGGACCAGCTGGGCCTCACTGGGTAGATCTGCCCCTGTCCAGAGCCATGCATCTCCTGGGAATCTGGAAGCCTGCTGCTGCAGAGAGGCAGGCCAGATCCCAATAGGCTAGAAGAAGGCCTTGTTAATGAAAAGGCCAAGGTCAAAGCCTGACCTGAGAACCACCAAATAAACTGCCTAATTAGTTTGGTATCAATCAGGCACAGGGGCTGGTTTGCATGGGCAGGGGACTCCTAGGGGTAGATGCCAGAACAAGAGCCCATTGTGGAAAGGTCATGTTGTCCACTGCAGCTAAGAGTACTGAGAAGGGAAGACAGAGCTGTCCTCTAATTTGCTGGATCAGGCCTGGCACTGATCCCACTGAGTTCTGAGGGCTAGGCCTGTTGTGCCTCAAAAAATCATTTGTTCAGTGGGAGCTCTCTGCCTGCCATGAGGCCAACCTCATGAGGCAGGGCTGGGGAATTACCACCAGGCTGCTCTTCCCTGTCTCGAGAGCACATCTTCCGGAAAACGCACGTGTTTCATCCATGCCTGTGTCACAGCTGACCTGCCCTCTTACCTTCTTAGAACCCAGGGGACCATGGGTGCCTCCAGGCTCTATACCTTGGTACTGGTGCTGCAGCCTCAGCGAGTTCTCCTGGGCATGAAGAAGCGAGGCTTCGGGGCCGGCCGTTGGAATGGCTTCGGGGGCAAAGTGCAGGAAGGAGAGACCATCGAGGAAGGGGCCAAAAGGTGAGCAAGGGGCAGCTCTGACCACAGAGCCAGCTTCCACTGGGCACAGGGATTTGGGCTACAGAGCCACACCCCTGATTTCACTGCTTAAAGCTGTGTGACCTGAAGCGTAGAATTAACCTCTGAGCCTCAGTTTCTTCATCACAACACAGGAATAGCAAGAACAGTACCTTGCTCTTCGGATCGTTGTGACAAATGAGAAAATGGGCCATGTGCAGTAGCTCCCAGCACTTTGGGAGGCCAAGGCAAGAGGATTGCCTGAGCCCAGGGATTCAAGACCAGCCTGGGCAACTTGGCGGACCTTATCTCTACAGTGAATGAAAAAATCAGGCTGGGTGCCGTGGCTCACACCTGTAACCCTAGCACTTTGGGAGGCCGAGGTGAGAGGATTGCCTGGGTTCCGGGGCTTGAGATCAGCCTGAACAGCATGGCGAGACCTTGTCTCTACCAATACATCAAAATATTAGCCAGGTGTGGTGGTGCATGCCTTTGGTTCCAGCTACTGGGAAGGCTGAGGCGGAAGGATCACCACCAACAGGTCAGGGCTGCAGTGGCCGTGAATGTGCCACTGCACTCCAGCCTGGGCGACAGAGTGAGCCTCTGAATCAAGGGAAAAAAAGAGAACAAGAGAAAAAAATGCACAAAAGGTTAGAGCAGTGCCTGGTTGGCAGCAAGTGCTGAGTACACATTTGCTGTTGCCACCTGGTGCTGGTGCTTTTACTGGTGCTAGTGGCTTTAGGATGCATCTGGAGATACCGTACGTCATGGCTGGAGATGGACAGTCCTGGCTTCCTCACTGTATAGCTAATGGGCTTGTCAGTCACTTGGTTTCTTCATTAGTTCAGGGGAACTGAGAATCGTTTTTATTTAAAACTTTTTGCATGCACAGTCTTACTCCTCAACACAGCCAGCTCCACATGGACGGAACTGAATCCCAGAGAGGTTAAGCAGCTTGTCTAAGATCACACAGTCCTCCAGGCATCCACCTTTGCCCTTCTTGCTGCTCTCGGGCTTGTGAGGATAAAGGAGATCATTTGTGTGAGTGTCTTAGAGCACTACATAAACGTTAGCTCCTTATTCTGGGAAAAGTTGGCAGCCTTAAGGCCACTTTCTCTCTAGAGAAGAAAAGCATACTACAGAGGACCCTGGAGAGGAAGAAAAGAAAGCTGGGATACTGTAGCCCAATGGCTTTCAGTTTTTTCATTACAACCCACAAAAAGAAAAATGTTTGAGCCAGGCACCGTGGCTCATGCCAATAATCCCAACACTTTGGGAGGCTGAAGCAAGAGGATGTCTGGAGGCCAGGAGTTCAAGACCAGCCTGGACAACATAGCAAGACCCCAGTTCTACAAAAAAAATTAGCCAGGTGTAATGGGACACTCCTGTGGTCCCAGTTACTCAGGAAGCTGAGATGGGAGGATGACTTGAGCCAGGAGGCCAAGGCTGCAGTGAGCTATGATTGCACCACTACACTCCAGCCTGGGTGACAGAGCGACTCCTCCATCTCTCAAAAATAAATTTTTTAAATATGTTTTATACCCTGATAGAGTGTACTCAGTTATACGTACATAGCTGCAATAATACCTGTTCCACATGAAAGGGTACTCTATTTCCAGTTCTCCCTTATTTTAATTGCTGGTTGCAGTCCACTAAGTTGATTTCGCAGTGCACAAGTGGTTCACAGCCCTTGGTTTGAAGAGCCCTGCCTGTGATGGCCCTGGTGTGTGCCTTCCCTCTGAGCCTGGAACCCAGAGCTGCTGCCACACAGACACATTTGGTCAGTCATTGGCAGGCACCAGCACAAGGGGGCTGCAGCTGGGGAAGAGGCCCATCTGGTGCGAGTCGGGTGTCTAGCCTGTGTCCACGCCAGGGGTGCGTGTGGAGCACAGCACGGGACACACAAGAATGGCAGGCCCCGAAGTCTGCCTGGCCAGCCATTTGGCTGTCTTTGATCTGCTGAGAGCACCCTTCAGCTCACAGATGTACATGTAGCACTGCTCTGTGTTGGGCTCGGGGACACAGGGAAGGGCAGGGCCCCTGTCGGGCTCTCATGTTGTCTGGCCACCAGATTCAGACATCTGTGCAGAAAGGAGGTCCGGTCCACGACCAGTAGTCTGGGGCACCAAGGACAAAGGGAGGGTGAATTCCTGGGCATGGGGAGAACGCTCAAAGGATCTGACATTTGCTGGGAGGGACCGCGGGAGGTGGGGGCGAGGCAGTCACAGGAGCACTGAGGGCTGGAGGAGCACGGGCATGGACTGAAGGGCTCCAGGTGGCGAGACCTCAGCCCTTGTCCTAGGGTGACAGCTAACTCACAGGCCCCCTAAGCAGCCCCCAATTTTTTTTTTTTGAGTTGGAGTCTCATTCTTTCACCCAGGCTGGAGTGCAGTGGCACGCTCACAGCCACTGCAGCCTCGACCTGCTGGGTT